TCCCCCTCCTCCTCCTCCCTCCTCTTCCTCCTCCTCCTCCTCCTTTTCCTCCTCCTCCTCCTCCTCCTCCTCCTCCTCCTGCCCCCCTTCTGCACGTGGCTGCAGGAGGGCGGGGGGGAAGGGGACCAGCACACCCGGGGGCCGCAGCGTGCGGCCCAAGGATCTGAGCGCTTGTTCGACCCAAGCTTGGCATCGCTCAGACGTGTGCGTTTTTTTCTCGGCGAGGACTATCGAGGAGCATCCTTGATCATTTGGCGAAGAAAAAACACCGAACAAAAACACAGGGAATGGACGTCCAAGCGATGGCCAGCAAGGAGGTTCTCGAATTCTGGCCCACTGGGATCTAGTGGGATTTGGCGGGTGCGCGCGTGGGATTTCCATGGGTTCTGGTGGGGTTGAGCGGGGTCGCAAGCGGGGTTCACTGGGATCCACTGGGTTCCACGGGGGGCACGACGTCTCCCGGAGCGGGCGCTCGTGCCACTACCTGAGGCCCCCCTGCCTGGCCACCCAACAGCAAACCACTCCCTTCCGTGACGCCCCCCTCGACTCGCCCCGAGACGCATGTCTGCGGCCGGAGGGGAGCTCGAAGGGCGAAGAGGACGCCACGGCAAGGGATGGCCTGCTGGGGGTCGCTCAGGCCGCGCCCGAGCAAGCTGCCCCCGCCGCGGCCCCGCGGAGAGCGATGGCGGGCTCCAGGCCGGCGTCCCGCGCCAGCAGCGTGGGCAGCCGCCCGGGCAGCCGCTCCGCGGCCTACCGCACCGTGGGCAGGAAGAGCAGCGTCGACGAGACGCTCTTCGGCAGCGCCCAGAGGACGCAGCTGCCGGACATCCACCAGGCCAGGGACGCCCTGGCCGGGAAGGACCCGCCGCTCCACGAAGCGGCAGGCTCGAGGTTTTCGGGCGTTGCCGCACGCTCTCGGCGGCTTCTCAGCCTCGGGGCGAGTTCCAGCAGCTGCGCCTCGTCGGGCGCTGTCCGTGGGTGCCCAGATCTTCCCGAGCGGCCGCCTGAGGCCCGAGTGACCAGGGGAGCACTCGACTATCGCCGAGGCTCGGTCCTCGAGCCACGGATGTCGATTCCGAGATCTTCCCGTCCAAGTTTGGCGACCCTCGGATCCAGGATCCGAGGTGCTCGCAGATGCTCAAGACCAAGATCTCGGATCCTCGATCCGAAGATGGAGGGTCGAGCCTGCTTGGTGGCAGTGTAGGCTCGAGGACGGCGAGAGGGGCGATCGACTATCGCCGAGGCTCGGTCCTCGATCCTCGGATGTCGAACCCGAGATCTTCGAGTCCAAGTTTGGCGACCTTCGGACCTAGGATCCGAGGTGCTCGCAGATGCTCAAGACCAAGATCTCGGAACCTCGATCCGAGGATGGAGGGTCGAGCCTGCTTGGTGGCTGTGCGGGCTCGAGGACGGCGGCGAGGGCGATCCACTATCGCCCATGCTCGATCATCGAGCTTCGGGCGTCGAGCCCGAGATCTTCGAGTCCAAGTTTGGCGACCCTCGGATCTAGGATCCGAGGTGCTCGCAGATGCTCAAGACGAAGACTTCGGATCTTCGATCCGAGGATGGAGGATCGAGCATGCTCGATGGCAGTGTGACGATCGAGGATCGCCGAGGCTCGATCCTCGACCCTCGGATCGCGAACCCGAAATCTTCGAGTCCAGGCTTGGCGACCCTCGGATCTAGGACCCAAGGTGCTCGAATATGCTCGGACCCAAGATGTCGGATCATCGATCCGAGGATGGAGGATCGAGCCTGCTTGACTCCTTGATGCTTGACCGAGGACCGCTCGGCGAGAGGGGGGGAGTAGTGCCCCGCAGCTTGGAACGCCACTCGAGCGTGCTCGAGCGCTCTCCTGGAGCTTGGAACGCAGATGGGGCTCGAGCGTGCGCCTCGAAACGGCACCCTCGTAGCGCAAAACATGGGGCGCTTGGCTCGGGGAGCTCGTGCGCTCAGGCGTCCACGAGCATGAACGAGGCGGGCTCTGACTCGGCCGTCTCGTCGGCCTGGCTCCTCTCGTCGTCGCGCTTGTTCATGGTGAGCTTGTCGTACTCGGCCTGGATCGACGCAAACTTCTCGAGGTGCAGCTTGATGTGGTTCTCGAAAAGCATCTGCTCGTGCTCCTGCTGCGTGCCGGTTTTCGATTCGTCCCGCTTGGCGCGCTTGTCTTGGTAGGTCTGCTCGTGCAGCTCGTAGCTCATGTCGGCTGTCTTCTTGATGGGCCAACACCACTTGATAATTGCTTGAGTGGTGGCCTTGGCGACCCCGTCGGTCGCGATCGAGAACATGGAGGTCTCGTTGCACCACTTGACGTACTCTCGGGCCCTGCTTGGAACCACGTTGTAGAACATCTCGGAATTGTCGGCGGGCCCCTCGTCCACGCGCTCGACGGGCTCGAACTTCTTGTTGAGCGGCAGCACTAGCCCGTGGAGGTGGAGGAGCTCGGCGGGGATGCTTGGGAAGGCATCGCCGACGCGCTCGGTTTAGGTGCCGTGGGTGAGCTTCTTGGCGTTCTCGGCTCCGAGCTCTATGTCTCTCTTCTTGGCGAGCTCCTGCAGCTTGGCCCTGAAGCTCGGCGCGAGCCAGAAGAGATCCCCGGGCGGCTCTCCGTGGTTTTCGGAGATGTCGCACACGTGCTCGTCCTTCTCGACGTAGGTCTTGTCGAACACCGCCACGGCCAGCTCGATGCGCCTCTTGTCCTTCTCGTTGAAGATGTGGCCGTACTCGATGCTCTTGTAGGACCCGCCCTTGCACGCCATCTCGAGCACGGCTTGCTGGGCGCTGCTTGGCAACAGTGCGCTCTCGGCCTTGAAATAGCAGCTCGTCGTCCTCGCTGCATCCGTGCCTTGCGCGCTCGACTGGCACTGGCGCATCTCCGCGATCGCGCACTTGTCCGCGATGAAGGCCAGCTTCTCGAGGATATTCTCGTTCTGCTTGGCCATGCGCTCGAGGATCTCGTTCGAGCTCGGGTTCGGGGTCGCGACGTTCTTGAGGGCCTCGGCGGGGGCGCTCGCCGCCGCGGCGCGCTCGGTGGGCTGGGACATCGCTGGGGCTCGCGGCGCACTCAGGGGCAACGCTGTGGGGGGATAGGCATTGGGGGGGGACGTCGACCTGGAATCGGCGATACATCGCCGATTCCATGTCGATGTCCCCCCTCCCAATGCTTATGCATCGGCGATACATCGCCGATGCATAGGCATGCCTATCCCCCCTACCGCTGCCCATGGGGCGAAGAGGCTCGGCGCCTTGAAGAGGCCCGAAAGCTTGGAGCTTCGGAGACTCAGGGCATCTTGGGCCTGGGCAGCTGCGGGGGAGGAGGAGGAGGAGGAGGAGGAGGAGGAGGAGGAGGAGGAGGAGGAGGGACAGGAGGAGGAGGAGGAGGAGGAGGAGGAGGAGGAGGAGGAGGAATGGCCACGAGCCGTGTGAGGGGTGCGCTAAAAGAGTAATTCGCTTAACTCCAATGCCCTGCCTGCGAAAACTCATGCGCAATCAAAACCCAATCGGTCCTTGTGAGCCCTGTCACTCGTTCCTGATTCGGGAACGGCCAAGAAAATGATAATCCCATGGCCCCGCCGCGCTTTCGTAACGTGGGCAAACTGAACTGGTGAGAGTCCCACAGCCCCGCCACACGGTCGTGACTGCGGAAGCTGGTGTGGTGAGATCACCATGGCCATGCTCAGCGGTGTTGATGCTGTTGCTAGTCGACGTGATATGATAGCAATTCCGATCCCCGCAACTTCCCCGTGGATAAGAAGTTCGGCCTCCGCGCCTTCCCCCACTATTAAATGCGATTGGCCGGGGATTAAAAAAAACATTCGGGGGATTAAGGGGGGGACTCTATTATCGCCCGTGGTCGGTTAATGAGTTGCACGAGGAGGAGAAGGACGAGGAGGACGGGAGGGAAAGATGATGAGGATGAGGATAATGGGTTGAAGGAAGAGGAGGAGAAGGAGGAGGAGGAGGAGGAGGAGAAGGAGGAGGAAGAGGAGGAGGAGGAGGAGGAGGAGGCGGAGGAGGAGGCTGAGGAGGAGGAGGAGGAGGAGGAGGAGGAGAGGAGGAGGAGGAGGAGGAGGAGAGGAGGAGGAGGAGGAGGGAGGGGAGGAGGAGAGGATATGGAGGGAGGAGGAGGAGAAGCAGGAGGAGATGAGGAGGATGAGAGGATGAGGTTGGAGGAGCAGGAGGAAGAGGAGGAGGAGCAGCAGCTGGAGCAAGAGCAGGAGGATGGAAAAAAAGTACGAGCAGGAGGAGGAGGAACAGGACGAGGAGGACGAGGACGAGCATGAGGAGGAGGCGCAGGAAGAGGAGGAGGAGGAGGAGGAGGAGCAGGAGCAGGAGCAGCAGGAGGGGTGGAGGCGGGAGTGGGGAGAGAGAAGTGTGTATGTGTGTATGTGTGTGTGTGTGTGTGTCCGACGTTGTGATATGACATCTTGTGTTCATGCAGGAGCAGGAGGAGGAAGAGGAGGCAAGAAAGAGGTTGGAGAGGTCGGAGGAGGATGAAGAGGAGGAGGAGGATGAGAAGGAGGAGGAGGAGGAGGTCCTCCTTAGGAGGAGAAGGATGAGGACGAGGAGGAGGAGGAAGAGGACGCAAGGATGAGGTCGCAGAGGTCGGAGGAGGACGAAGAGGAGGATGAGGAGGAGGAGGATGAGGAGGAGGAGGAGGAGGAGGTCCTCCTCAGGAGGGGGAGGAGAAGGAGGAGGACGAGGAGGAGGAGGAGGAGGAGGAGGAAGAGGACGCAAGGAAGAGGTTGCACAGGTCGGAGGAGGATGAAGAGGATGATGATGAGGATGAGGATGAGGATGAGGATGAGGATGAGGATGAGGATGATGATGATGATGATGATGATGATGATGATGATGATGATGATGATGATGATGATGATGATGATGATGATGATGATGATGCTGATGCTGATGCTGATGCTGATGCTGATGCTGATGATGATGATGATGATGATGAGGAGGAGGAGGAGGAGGAGGAGGAGGAGGAGAAGGTCCTCAGGAGGAGGAGGAGGAGGAGGAGGAGGAGGAGGAGGAGGGAGGGGAAGTGATGGAGGGCGAAGGATACGGCGCCTCCGCCCCGGAGGACAGCGCGCGCGCGGGCAGCGCCCGCGGGGGCAGCGCGCGGCCGAGCAGCAGGCGACCGCCAGCGCCGCGCGGCGGTGGCGGCTACCCCTCGCGGCAGGACTCTCCTTCCTCGGCTATCCAACCTCCTCGTCGTCGTCGTTGTCGTCGCCCTCGTCGTTGTCGCCGTCGTCGTCGTTTTTCATATTATTGTCGTCGTTGTCGTCGATCGATCGATCGTCGTCGTCATCGTCGTCGTCGTCGTTGTCGTCGTCGTCGTCGTCGTCGCTGTCATCGTCGTCGTCGTCGCTGTCGTCGTTGTCGTCGTCGTCACGTCTAGCCTCTAGCCTCTTGTTGCCGCTGGGTTGTCCGATCGCCTCTCCCCTTAAAACCGGGACCAACAAAAACAAACGACACCACCCCACCTACGGCCCTCCATGTTGCGCTAGGGCCCATCGTGCGCCGCAGCGTCTACCACGCGAGAACCCACGCCAGACTTCCTGGTATACGCGGAGCCCCCTGGGGCCGTAGGTGGGGTGGTGCCGCTTGTTTTCTGCCCCCCCCACTCATCCTTCCACTTATCGCCACTTATCGCCCACCCAGTCAGTCCTCCTGCTCCTCCTCCTCCTCCTCCTCCTCCTCCTCCCCCTCCTCCTCCTCCTCCTCCTCTCCTCCTCCTCCTCTCCTCCTCCTCCTCCTCCTCTCCTCCTCCTCCTCCTCCTCCTCCTCCTCCCTCCCCCTGCCCCTCCTCCTCCTCCTCCTCCTCCTCCTCCTTCTCCTCCCCCTCCCACTCCTCCTCCGACAAAGACAGGGCGTCGGACGGCTGGACCCCCCCCGCCCTGCGGTGGGCTGGGCGCCGGCGCGTCGGCCCCAGCGCATGGCGTTTCGAGCCGACAGAGGACGACGACGACGACGACGACGACGACGACCACGACGACGACGACGACGACGACGGCGACGACGACGGCGACGACGACCACGACGAGGGCGACGGCGACGACGACCACGACGACGACGACGACGACGGCGACGGCGACGGCGACGACGACGACGACGACGACGCCGCGCCTCTGGCGCGGCGGCGACCCCGGCGCGGGATGGGTCGATGTCGAGGCGACCTGCTGCGCGATCGGGGAGCCGCCATCTCTCCAGGTTGAGCGGCTGGCGCGGCGTCGGTCTGGACGTTGCATCGCTGCCACACAACAGTTCCAGGAAGTTGGGGGGGTGAGATCGAAGTGAAACGGAGTCGCCCAACCAGGACATTGATTTCTGTTTTGGCTCGTGCCGTGCGTGACGCACGTGCGGGCGAGGCGATACGAAGCTGCGCGAGCTCCTGCCCCGGCAGAGGCCAGTCGGGCCAAAATGAGGCGCCCCGTCCAAGGCGTTGGGCCGCGGTCTGATGGTTGACCCGATGGTTGTCTCGATGGTTTGTCCCCTCGGTTGTCCCGATGGTTGTCCCGATGGTTGTCTCGCTGGTTTTCCCGATGGTTGTCTCGACGATTGTCCCGATGGTTGTGCCGATGGTTGTTTCGATCGTTGTCCTGATGAATGTCCCGACGGTTGTCCACATGATCGTCCCGACGGTTGTCCTGATGGTTTTCCTCATGGTCGTTCCGATGGGTTTCCCGATGGTTCTCCCGATATATGCTAGTCTCGATGGTTGTCCGATGGGCAGGCGTTCGAGTTCGACAGATACATTCATTGAAATATCGATAGGCGGTGAGGCGGAGACAAAGTGAGACCGATATATGAGCGATTGATGGATCGTGGGATCGATACATTGGTTTGTGAATCGATAGTTGAGGCGATCGACCGATATATCGCTATTGAGTTTGGTAGTCTGGTTGTCGGGCCGATTGACTGCCAGGTCAACAGTTTGATTGATACATCGATTGTTAACGATATCGGAAGATAGAGGGATCGATTGATAGATTGGTAGTGATGCCGGCAGCGACAGAAATGTGAATGCTGGGCTCCTTCTATGTAAAGATCGCGTACCCGATACGACGCCAATCGCAAGCTGTAAGGTGCACCCATCCTCCCCCAATATCTTGTTCTTATCATCCGAAGAGTTGTCTATGCGGTATGAGCTTGGAGGGGGCAGTATCCGTACAATTGGCAGGTTTGGGTAATGGTCGGAGGGGCATAACCAGAGTCGCATAATATCAGAATCGCTCAGGGTCTTTGGGGCTGAAAGCTCGGAGTGCTCCAACCACTCAATATGTGTTTGGGCCAGACTGCGTGAGGCAAGGACTTAGGGCCGGACCAGAACCGTGAGGACCCATAAGTCTGGATCAGTTGCTGCAACGGGTGGTGCACGAGGCATCCCTGGCCGGCCCTCGTCGCGTTTGTGAACGATCTGCGTATGGTTTGTGTAGGGGGCCGCATGCGAACCCTACCCCTGCCCCCCACGACTTCTGAGGGGTAGGGTGGGGTTCGCTTCGCTCGGGACCTCCCTCTCCCTCAGAAACCGTGGGGGGTAGGGGTAGGGTTCGCATGTGGCCCCCTAGTTTGGTCCACCTGAGGCAGGCCAGCCACAACTGGGGGAGCTGTGGTCCTTACCCCCCTGGGGGACCCATCGATCTCGACACCCCTCTCGAGAGATCGTCGATGCGATGGGTTCCCCCTAGGGGGGTAAGGACCAGGGAGGAGGAGGGAGGAGGAGGGAGGAGGAGGAGGGAGGAGGAGGAGGGAGGAGGAGGGAGGAGGAGGAGGAGGGAGGAGGAGGGAGTAGGAGGGAGGAGGAGGGAGGAGGAGGAGGAGGAGGAGGAGGAGGAGGAGGAGGACAGCTCCCCCAGTTGTGGCTGGTCGCTAAGGGTCGGCCTACGTTTTTGGAAGCACGGGGATAGCCAGCGCGGGCTCCCTTCACACGACGGCTTACCTCCAGGCGTGCAGACCTCGAGCTCCGCTGGCCCCCTCCCCTCCTCCCCTCCCTCCCTCCCTGGCCACCTCTCCCTCCTCGGGCAACGCCAGGGAGGGGTAGGCTCACAGGGGGGATGCCTCGGTCCCAGATTGCCCATTCATCGCTGCTAGGGGCCCGACAGCCCACCCCGCCCAGCAACGTGCTGTTTCGAAATCGGGTGCCTATCGCCGACCTATTGGCGATGTATCGCCGACTCAAGGTCGACATTCCCCCTCTGAGCCGGTCCCACCCGAACGTTCTGCCTCGAGAGACATGAGGAGGGATCGGCGTGTCGCTAAGAATATACCATATAGTATTAAGACAGCTCTGTCGTGCCGTTTGTCCCCTCCTTAGAAGGAAGCGTGCGTCATCGACGCCGTGGAGCTGAGCAGGCTGCGCGACAACGCTGGGTTGCTGGGCAAGGATCGCCAGGGGTCCTCCAGAGTGGTCTTTCGTTTAGATCCTCTACGCCCTCCCCGTCCTCGGCCTCTCGCGGACCGCGAGGCGTCCTCCCCCTTCTCGGCCTTCTCGATGGGAGCTCGGGGCCGCTCTTCTGCAGAGGCCAGCAGCCCCAGCCTCTACAGTCGGCCCGGATCAGTAGGTCGACCCTGCCAGCTCAAGTGTACCCTTGTGTCCTGTTCCTCGCGACACGTGCCTTCTTACACTCCTATGGCGATGTGGCCCTGGGAACCGTCTTGTGTCCTCTCGCGTGTCCTGTCCAATCAAGGCCGACTGTACCCCAACTGCAGTCCTGAGGCAGAGCGTGCGCCGGGGGGGAGGAGGAGGAGGAGGAGGAGGAGGAGGAGGAGGAGGAGGAGGAGGAGGAGGAGGAGGAGGAGGAGGAGGAGGCAGAGCACCTGGGCTCACTCAAGCGAGGCCTGCGGAGCTTCCGGCACGCAGCATCACAGATGCCGCCGCGCCGCACGCTGCGCCCCTGAGAGGGCGCCGCGGCCACCGGGGGCAGACGCCGCCTCGGACGCGGTGGGCTTGCCCTGGACTTGCCCTGGTGCCGGCTTCGACGACCTGGGCGCTGGGCGCTGGGCTTGCCGTGGGTTTCTCCGCGGTGCCGGCCTCGTCTGCTGGGGCGCGTGCAGAGCGCACGGCGCGGCGACGGATGAGTATGTTACTGTAGACCTGGGCCTTGAGTGGGCCAAGCAACATCTGGGACTATTGCGAAGGCCGTGCGGCCGGACGACGTAGACGACGACGGCGACGACGACGGCGACGCCAGCGAGCCCTCGTGGGGGCCCTTGTTGGCTTTGTTGGCCTCGGGCCCCCCCTGGGACCCCCCTTGGGACCGCTTCCTGCAATCCACCCCCGACGCCTCGCCCCCCCCAGCGGGGAAGGGATCAAAGAGAACAGGCTTCCCTTCGGCGTCTCTGCGGAACTCTTGGGCCGTATTGGTCGGAAGGTGGGGGGTCACGACCTTGGGCCCCCCCACTGGATCCCCCCCGGGACCTCCCTTGGCGACCTTCCCCAGAGACCCCACCGCTCCCCCCCCCCCCCCCCCCTCGGCGGGGAAGAGATCAAAAGGGAGGAGCTTCCCTTCGACCCGACTGCGATGTTGTTCGATTTCCGTCTGGGTGGGTCATTTGAGGAGGGCCAGCGGAAAGGGGGAGAGTGGAGACGACGACGACGCCGACGGCGGCGACGACGACGACTCAAACGGAAAAACGTTTCACACACGCCGACAGGGTCGGAGGATTTTTAGCGGGGTTTGGGCTGGCTGCGATGAATGAACTGGGTCGCGCGTTCTCCAGCTCTGAAGCCACTCTGGGCGTCATTGTAAAAACCCACTTGGCTGTCAGGACGTACGGCACATTGACTCTGCACTGCGGCAAGCAGGTCGCCGCGACGTAGAAACGAAGCGACGATGACTGGTGCTGCCGCACCCCGCATCATGGATCCCACTAGTTGTAACCCGTATGCTGCACCCAAGCAGGTTGCATTCTACAGTGCTCCAGCTGCTGACCGCCATCGATACATTCCGAACAGTACACCTCATAGTCTGCGCCCCCCACACACCAAGTTGCGCTCCGATGATTGGGGCCTCATGTGGCTCACACGAACTAGCAGTCTGGGGCGTCAGCGCAGGCATCTCTTCGGCAGCAGTTAAATGGCTGAAAGGTGATAGAAGGAAGGGGAGGGATGCTGCCAGTGGTGCAGAGCGCTTTCCTCTCACAGCCGAGCATAGGAGTGATCGTCGACGTGGCCAATTCTCTGCAGTGCATGTCGGCCGCGCCCGTGGTTTGGCGGCTTTTGAGCCACCCTCTCCCCTGCACCTCGCCTTCTCCCTCCCGCTCCTCCACCTCCGCGGCGTCTGAGCTCGTGGCGTCCCGTGCCTGACCAGTCTCGAGCTTCTCAGGCTTAGGTCGGGCGTGACACCCTACAGGCGGATGTTGGAGTTTTTTGATTCTATATATATATATATATATATATATTTTTATTTGTTTTACAATAAGAAGACATGCAAGAATTGTCAGACGTAGTAGAAATAGTCCCCCGACTTTCCAGGGAAGACCGCCTTAGGGAGGCGCCACCGATGGCACGGGCGGCCGGCCCGACGAGAGGAGAAGAGCAGGAGAGGAGGGGAAGACGGACAAGGGGGGTCGGTCGTCGTCGCTTGCGGGGGGTCGTTGGTGAGCGTCGTCGTCAGTGGTCGTTTGTTGCTCCGGCTGCGGGCCGCTGGCGTCGCTGCGCTGTCGACAGCTGCCGCGGGGCTGCGCGCAGCATCCGTGTCGCCGCGTCCATCAGCTGCTAACTACGCGCGGTGCTGCCCCAGCGCTGTGGCCTGACATCACCGGCCGATCGCGGCCAGCAGCGCCTCGGCGTTGCCCACCTGAAGCAGGCAACTGAGTTGCTGCCAACCGCAGCGTATCGTCTCGGTGCGGGCCGTCCCCTCGAGGCCGTGTGCCAAGGACCGCACGCAGGCCGCAGTGGCGTCTCCCGGGCGGCCGCCCGCCTCAAAGACGAGGGGAACGAGATCGCCTCCGTGGGGTGGGTACCTCTGGCGCTTGGCGTCCTCGCGGTTCTGGGCTGCAGGGCCGTCCCGACTGGAGCGTGCCCGCTGGCGCGACGGGTCGTCCTCCTGCTCCTCCTCCTGCTCCTGCACCTTCTCCTCCTCCTCCTCCTCCTCCTCCTCCTCCTCCTCCTCCTGCTTCTCCTGCTCCTCCTGCTCCTCCTCCTCCTCCTCCTGCACCTTCTCCTCCTTCTCCTCCTCCTGCTCCTCCGTAGCCATTTTGGCTCAAAAATGCTGCACCTGAGGGCTCTGCGCCCTCGTGCCGAACTGGAAGCTGCTAGTCCGCAGCAGTGCCAAGGCCTTGTGCCTGACAGCTTTTGCCAGTACTGCACGGGCCTCTGGCAGCCCATCTTTCGTGTGCTCCTGACGGAGCTAGTTGCTACGACGCCGCGATGGCCCCTGCCCCGTGGCGTAACCCTGATGATGCGGAAGAAGCTTGGACGAGGCAGCCCTGGATCCGAGTTCCGCCTGGGGGCGCCAAGGCTGGACAGAATCGTGGTGCTCGGCTGTACACTGTGCGCTCTTGTGGCCATTGGACTTGGAATGATCTCCTGGCCAAGCGGCACAATTTCTGCGTCGGGTGCCAGTCCCAGTGCCACCCGCCCAGCTCCTCTGTCGGCGGCGGCGGCCAGATGCTTCTGTACACCGGTGCTGAGGAGTCAGGATGGGGTGATGGAGGCGGCAAGTCCAAGGGTCGCTGGCGCAAGGGTACCCAGGCGCAGCAGTTGCAGCAGGGCCCCTCTGAGGCCATTCCTCCTCAAGCTCTTGCGGCTGTCAAGGAAGCTGCGTCGCACCTCGCGCCCGACCTGGCCCAGAAGCTGCTCGCTCAGTTCGTGCCCAAGCCGCCGCCCCAGCCCCAGGCGACGCCTCAGGCCGAGTGGCAGCGTGCCTCGCAGGCCAAGAAGGCTTCCAAGGAGAAGCTTGACAAGGCCCTGGCGCGCCGCGCGGCGCTGGACAAGGAGGTCAGCGACCTTGACAAGCACCTGGATGAGCTCATGGCAAGGGACCTGGAGAACGCTGACATACTTGAGCAAACCACTCGTAAGCTTGCCGTCGGAGTTGTTAAGCCTGCTGAGCCCACCTCCAGCAATAACGTCATTTCCCTCGATGCCCTCGTCAAGGACTCCGCTGATGAGATCAAGCTCGACTTTGGTGAAGAGCTTGACGTCTCGGGGCCAGCCTTCTCGGCCGAGGACCGCGAGGGTTTTGAAAAGTTCAAGCTCGAGCAGTCGCAGCAGGTCGAGACCCTCTTGCACGGAGCGCTCACGAGCATCAAATCCCAGTATAAGACGCACCAGGAGGAATACCAGAAGCGGATGGGCGAGTTGCGTAAGAAGCGCAAGACTGCTGATGGCGCGGTTGCGACAGGGGTGGCGGCTTCTCAAGGTGCGGGCAGCCAGGGTGCCGCCTCCTCTCAGGCGCCTGCGGCTGATGCGCCGAAGGCGGAGCCCATGGTTGCCGAGGCCCCTGCCGAGCCGACCGACAAAGAGAAGCGGATTGAGAAGGCGCGCTCTGACACTCTCGCACGAGCCAAGGCGGCCGCAGCTCGGCCCAAGGTTCAGGCTCGCGAGCCTGGCTCCTAGCTCTGATGATGGTGGTCAAGAGTGTGAGAGCTGTTCTACCTGCAGCTCATCTGTCGGTGCGCTCTCAAGATCGGCCTCTTCATGTTCGCTTTCCTCGATACCGTCCACTTCGACGGCAGGCGGTACCTCTTCTTCTTCCCCGCTTGTGGCGACCTCTTCTGGTGCATCTTCGTCTCCTTTGACCTCGTACGATGGGCGCTCACTCACCGTGCCTGCGAAGGCAATGACCCCGCGGACGGCACCTGCTGCAGGTTGGCTCGGCCAAGACCTCAGCGCGGGATCCCGCGGCGCGCGTCTTGCTGGAGGCTCGGCAGACGACGCCACATGTGCGCGCTGTACGGCCACTTCTTCGGTTTCGGCATCTACTGCTTCGGATTCTGCGTCGACCTCGGCCTCTTGCTCTTCGGCTTCAAGGGCAGGCAGGCTGTCTCGCTGGCTCCAGAAGGCGCGTGATGTGGGAGGCGCCGCTGGAGAGGGGACGGCCCCTCACTCCCAAGGGTGCGCGGTCCTGCGGGGGCCCGCGGCAGGGCACACCGCGAACTCTGTCTTCACTTGCAAGGATCAGGATCCTGAGCGGCGTGCTGCCATTCTTCAGCGGCTTAGTCTCGAGCGTCGGCTTCGGTCTTACACAAAGTTCTGGCTCCAGGATCCGAGTCTGTTGGATGAGCCTGGCAACCAAGCTCACTGTCTGCGCTTATGTGTCACTTACGTTTCTGATATGCTAGCCCAGGACGGCTTCCTGGTCCTCGTCATGGAGCATCCGGCTCGGACTGGCATTGAGAATTT